CCCTTCAGGACTGAGCTGCCCAGAGGGGAGCTGGCACCACACAGCACACACACTGAACTCCCTTGCCCAGTCTCTCACACTGTTTTCCAGAATCCTGTCTCAAGTAAACCCCTTCCAACTGAATTCAGATGCGAAGTCTGAGACAACTGGTTCTGAGAAAACCCAAACTGAGGTAGAGAGTCAAGCCGGAAGCATCTTAGGACTGGAGGTAGGTGTGTGTGTGTGTGTGTGTCTGTGTGTGTGTGTGTGTTATAGGCATATGCATCTAGGTATGTTGTATAGATGTGTGTGTATAGGTGTATGTGTCTAGGGGTGTGTGTGTGTCTGTGTGTGTCTGTGGGTATGTATGTATGTTATAGGTATATCCATCTAGGTATGTGTGTATAAATATGTGTATGTGGTATAGGTGTGTGTGTGCGTGTGTGTAGGTGCAGGTGTGGGTCCGGGTGTGTGTGTATGTATGTTACAGTTATATACATCTAGGTATGTGTGTATAGATGTATGTATGTGGCATAGGTGTGTGTGTGTGTATGTGTGTGTGAGTATATAGGTGTAGGTGCAGGTGCTGGTGTGTGTGTTTGTATAGGTGCAGGTCTGTGTGTGTGTACTATCCTCAGGGCCCTTTCTCAGGCTTGACATCTAGCCTGTGCCCTTTGTCTGAGTGAGATGAGCCTGCTCTGACTTTAGCCCCTCCATCCTTAACAAACAAATCCTCAACTTGGGACTTGGCAGAAAGAGGCCCCAGAACAGGAAGTACTTTCCACGCTCCAGAAAATAACACATGGGCTGTAGAGGAGGAAGATGGAGGGACTTAGTCTGTGGTGGTCTTGCTGGCCTCCCAATCCACCAGAATCATCTGTCTCCAAGAATATTCATGGATGTGACAATTTAATGAGGGGGGGGGCGAGTGTAATTGGGCAGATGCCTGGACATGAATCCCCTCGGCTGCTGCCTGGCCCTGTGACCTTGGGCAAGCTACCCCCTGGCATTTTCTCATCTGTAAGTGGGGCTATTAGCATTCATCCCACCATCCTGGTGTTGTGGGGGATTAAATGAGTCAACACAGGTCAAAGCCCTTGGCACAGTGTCTGCACAAAGCTCTCGACAGTGTTCACATGGCTGCTACGACCATTAAGCCAGGCCGTCTTGACAGTGTGTACACAGATCAGCTGGAAATCTTGGTGTCATGGATTCTGACTCAATGGGTGTGGACAGGGCCAGAGGTCATGGATTTCTAGCAGGTACCCAGGGTGTGCTGCTGCTGCTGCTGCTGCTGCTGCTGCTGCTGCTGCTGCTGCTGCTGCTGGACTGCAGTTCATACTTCGAATAGCATGGGATAAAGCCACTGTCCACTGGGATTTTGTCATCTGCAGCCCACAGCATACTCACCGAAAGAGGTCTAAGCTGTTATATTTCTGTATCTCAAGACCCGGCTGGGATCACAGCTTGGCTTCTATCTTCATACCAGCCTTTTGTATCTGTTTCTGGTTGACTGGCCAGTGCCCTATGGTGGAAACTCTCAGGAGACATAATTTCCATGGTGGCCAGCCCAGCTGTCTGGCATACTACAGATGCCTAATCACATGTGTTGACATGGAAACCCATGTGGGAGGCCCCTTTGCCTTTTTATGCCTGGGAGCTGGTACTCAGTGGCACACCCTAGCAGTGCCAGGGACAGAAGTCTTGTGGGGCTCCTCAAGTGAGACTGGCTCCCTGGGAGCATCTGCTGGGCTGGCAAGAGCCCAAGGGGTGGGAGGAGGGGAGGACACTCACACCCCTTCCTGTGTCAGAGCCTGGCAGCTGGGTCTAGTCAGCTCTCCAAATACCTAAGGAACAGAAGAGGATGGCCACGGCTGAATCATCCCCTGTCCTCTCTTCATCCAGGGGCGGGGTGAGCTAGCAGCACCTGGCTGGCCTCTGACAAGATCGAACCCCTTCTAGGTCTCTAGGGGTTGTTAATTCTGGGGTGGCCACGTAGGCTGCCGACGCCATCAAGGACACAGCGTCCCTCCACCTCTCTTTCAGACTTGGCAGACGGCATATTAAAGTAGTCATGTACTGATTACTTTCTGGCCCCTCTGCTGAAACCAGTATCTTCCAGACCTTTGATCCTTCTTCAGATCGGCTCAGCCTCCCCAAACTTTTAATGACCACTAACAGCCAATACCTGCTGGGTGCTCACTCGTGCTCTCTAGATCTGGGACGGCTCACACTATCTGCTAGGAGGCAATTGACCCAAAACAGCAAACCCCACAGCTCACAGTGGCTGGATTAACAGCGAACAGCACTAACAGTGACCACCATCCGTGCTAGCCATGTGCTGGCCACTGCTCTAGGTGCTTCCCATACACCCGTTCACCCTCTCCACTCCTCTCTGCACAGCCCCCTCTGTCTCTACCCCCTTTCTACAATGGAGAAACTGGGCTCAAAGAGGAGGTAACTCTCCCAAAGCCGCATGGCCACTTAGAAGCCTAAACCACAGGCCAGGGCTGCCTAACTGCTGAGTCTGTTTGACACTACCCATAATGCAGTGGGACTCTTGGTCCCTGTATGCATATTCAAGCAAACAACACTCGAACTCCCTTCTAAACTCATGAGCAGGCAGTGCCTCTTTCCTTCCTCATAATATCCTCTTACTATATTCCCCTGTGGGGGTTCTGTGATGGACTGAGTGCTCTTTTTCTCTTCTGTGATGCAGGACTGCAGCTTGGACGTGCCTGCTGCCACCTACGGCACCACACTGCTTTCCCGGGACCTGGTTCTTTTAATCTCCTGAGCCCAACATAATGTATTCTGGGCTAGAGATCACAGATGCATCCCAGGACAGACAGCCAAAAGGCTAGTAGCAGAGTCAAGACTGGCCTCGGGCCTCCTGAGTGGGACTGGCACCTGAGAGAAGGAAGTGCATTACTCCCTGGTACCTAAATAAGTTTCTCCAAGCCCAGCTGTGTGGTTAAACAAAATGCAGGCCATTTCCCCCTCCTCCCTCCCCTCCTGTTTCTCCTCCTCTCTCTTCTGCTGTCCACCCATCTTCCCTCCCACAGGAAAATGTCCCTTGAGGTGGGCGGAAAAGCAGCTCTGCCAAGTCCAGGCCCATTCATAAAGGGCTGAGATGCCCAGTATGGGGGGGGGAGGGGGGTAAGGGGACAAGGCTTTTAGCCAGCAGGAGCCCAGCTAAGAGGCAGGTCAGAGATGAAGGGAAGAAACGGAGCCTCATTCCACCCCACACTGGCTGGAGTCTGCACCCAGTCCACAGCGGTGAGGGGTAGGCCACTAAGCCAGTGTGATCCAGCAGAACCCTCTGTGAAGACAAAATGCCATTCTTTCCTGCCTTACTCAATACAGCTGCCACGAACCACGCGCTGCCACCAGCACTTGAATACAGTTAGCATGCTGGGAGCAGGGTGGTTTATTTTAAATTTCGGCTCCTTTACATTTGCATAGGCATGTGCAGCAGACGCCTATACAGACAGATAGCACAGACGTGAACTTTCCCAAGCCTGACTCCTCATGTGTAATGACAGGGAATGTGACACCTCAGGGCCCTCCCTTCCTTACCTCTGAGGGCAATTGGAAAGGTGAAGCAATGTGGTGGCGTAGAGTGAGCTCCAGCTCAGAGTCAGAACTCCTGAGTTCCAGATAGTAGTGGCTCTGCCACCAAGGCAAGCTCCTGAACCCCTGAGTGCCCAGCTTCTCTGTACAGTATGGAGTTATTCTGAATCTAAGATTCTTAGCCAGGATGAGCTAAGGATAGGCATGAGGGGAATCTGAAAAGAGTAAGTTTGTGTGACTCTGTGTGTGTGTGTGTGTGTGTGTGTGTGTGTCTGTCTGTCTGTCTGTCTGTCTGTGTTCATCAGAGGAGGCAAACCCCAAGACTTCCCCTAAAGGGAATGAAGACTCCTGCCACCTGCATTCTGTAACATATCCCCAGATCCTGGTGTGCAGTCCTGAAGGCAAACCCTGGCGACAAGCCAGGTACCATGACCAGCTCAAGATTTGATATGTGTGAGCCCTAGTTTGTATTTTTAAAACCCAACTGGGACTTAGAAAACTAAAGAAGAGAAAACAGTAAGGACATACTGCTGAACCGCGGTGACGCCTTTCACTGAGTAACCTACCAACACTGGTATACAGTAGGTGCCAAGCACTGTCCTCTGCTCTTTATACACATTAACTCAGGATTATAGATTGTAAATACTTAATCCTCATAATGTCTATATCTTAGGTTTGTTTTTCTCGTGTTGCTGTGACACAAGCCACTTAAGGGAGAATGGTTGATTTCAGCTCATGGTTCAAGGGTACAGACCCCCACAGCAGGAAGTTAGGTCATGCCCACGGTCAGGAAGCACAGGGCCATGGCTGCAAATGACCAGCTAGCTTTCTCACTCTCTCTTTTCAGTCAGGGTTTCACTATACAGCCCTTGCCATCCTGGAACTCTGTGTAGACCAGGCTGGCCTCAAACTCATAGAAATCTTCCTGCCTCTACCTCCCAAGCACAGGGTTTAGTCATGTGCTAGCAAGCACAGCCTTAGCTGTCTCCTTTTGAATGCAATTCAAGACCTACACCAAAGGAATGGCACTGCCCACTTTGAGTGTGGGTCTTCCCAATTCAATTAATGCAACTAATATGACCCTGACACAGGCAGCCCAGAGACTAAGTGATTCCTTACAGACCTGACTGGAGGCCTGTCTCCTAGGTGATTCCATATCCTGTAAAACTGACAGCTAACATTAACCATCACAAGCCCAAGGTTGTTGTTATCGATTTTTTTTTTTACAGATAGGGAAACAGGTTCAAGGATGTCCCCTGTTCACAGCCACACAGCTCTAAAATGGTAGGGCTGAAGCATAAAACCTAGATTTCTTCTGAAGGCCCTAGAGGCTTAGGCAAAACCCCGCCAGCCCAAGGAACTGGGATTCTTGGGGGGCTTGCTCAACCCCCCTCCTCCCACTGATTGGGGGCAGGAAGGCTACAGGGAGGTGCAAATGCCATACGTACTTGCCCTCCGAGCCATAGCTATTCATGCTGTCCTCAATGGACTCATGGCTGGCTTGGCGTAGCGTCCGGCTGGGCATCTCCACGGCCAGTCCTGTCTCTGTGCTTCTCTGGATGGCGCCCTTCAGCCTCCGGCTGTCTGCTGTGGAACACGGGGGCCAAAAGAGGTGGGGACAGACATGGGGTTGGGGAGGGGGAAGGACAGAAAAAGAAGTTGTCTGGTTAGTGGTTCAGCAGCCGAGGGCAGCCAAGCATCAGCCCTAGCCAGGTCCACCAATGTCCTTGATCCCTCTGGCTCACCTGTGCCCATGGTGCCCTTCACAGCCACCCAGCCAGCACACAACACTGTTAACTGGCCGGCTAATTTACATATCGTCTCCCCTGCAGTTTTCTCCAAACACCCCTTGTCCTTTACTGATAACATCTTAAGCACCTTCTATGGGCCAGACTCTTTCAGGTGCTCTGCAGGTTCAGGCCAGGGCTTCTCCGTGCCAGGGTGACTGTGGGTGACATCATGTCATGTTGCCACTAGATGCTAGTAGCAACCCTGTGCCAGTTAAAATGTCTGCAGGCATTACCAACTATTCCCAAGATAAAAAAAATTCACCCTTACTGGTAACCAGTAAGATCACTGGCTTTGAAGAACACAGCTCAGCACTCAACATTCAGAACACAACACACCACTCAAATCCCATTAGCTAGAGAGTGTAGGAAGTGCTCAGCCTCCCCGGGCCTCCATTTGTTTATCTGTAAAATGGGAATGCTGCCGGGTTATTATCAGACCAAATGGTCTTTGTGCTTAGAATTCCCTCCCATCATGCCTTTCCTGACCAGCCACTCACTCCTCTGCCTCCATCTTGTGATATAACGCTCTCTCACTGAAGGCTTCCTATGAACTCCCATCAGCCCCTCCACAGCTAGCCTGTTCTCTGTTTCTTCCTGGTGCTGACCACTCAGTGTGGTACTGGGGTTGGCTTTTTATTGGCCAGCTTCTGCAAAGGTGTGTTCATCAGTGAGAGCCTCTGAACCAGGAACTGTGATGGGTTCACTGGGGGTATTCAACAAGTGACTGCTGGATAAACCAGTGTCCCAAGTACTCCATGAAGTTGAGGTTCCTATTACTCTCCCTGCTTTGGTGTGGAAGACAATGGCACACAAGTCAGGGACTGGCTCACAGAGCCAGGGAGGAGAATCAGGAACACACCAGGTGGACCATGCCACCTCCAGCCTCCTCTGCTGGCCTTTTCCCACTACTATGACGGCATCATGATCTCTGAACCCTGGGACTCTAATGTACACATGTGGAGAGCTATCAGAGTTGTGTATGTCTGCCAAAGTGGGTGCTCACCTGTTCCTGTCTCCAAGGAGCCTGTGTACTCGGAGAAACCACATGAATATACACACAAGAACCAAGGACTCTAAATGTCTATGTTTGTGTTTCCACGCGTGGCTAGCTGTGAGTCTGAGGGCAACTAGGGGGTGTGTGTCTGTCACCTGAGTGTCTGTGTGTGTTTGACATGTGTCTGAGAGTAACTGGGTACACCAGATGTGCATCTTTAAGAAGTCCACGCCCGCTCACTGGGAAGTACACTGAGGAGAGTCGGCAATATGCATTTCTCCAAGTGTCACCTGGCGTCTCTGAACATGTGACGGGAAGTCATTTCCTGTCTGTCTGGCACTCATGTTTTTCTAACCAGCATCACCATTCCTACTTCTGTGTTCCCCATTCATATTACAGAGATAGGGACAGACCCAGAAACACACTCACACATCCAGGTGAGGGAACTGCCCTTACACACAAACACATGAAGCCATGTGCAGTCGTGCACAGGAACAAACAATCCCTCCCTGAGGATGCAGACCCATAACCTGCAGACATGCTTCAGACACCTTCTCAGGCACCTGACCTCCCATCCCTGTACATCCTGCACTGTCCCCATGTCACTGTCACGGACTAACACAGAGTCCAGCATGACAAACAGCTCAATCTCTGGGGCTGAGGAAGCTGGTGTGTATTTCATGTTGGTGACAGCCTGTAGCCTTCAAGGAGCCTCACACTCAGGCTCCTGGGCCTCGTGCCAGCTGGATTTAGCACACAGAGAGCCTGGCCCTTTAGGATGGCCCAGGCGACGGCCACAAAGACCAGACTGCTCACTTGTGGAGATGTGAAGGCTTAATGTCACCAGGCCTGGCACACAGTAGGTGCTACTCGGAAGTGGCTATAGCTACTGCAGAGAGAGAGGATGATCTCAGGACCCTTTCCAGTTTACCCTCCCCAGCTGTCTGGTTGATGTTTGCATGATCACGCTGCACTCTGCCACCTGAAGACTCTCTGTGTATCCAAGCACACCAGGAATGCTCCCCATCTAACCTCAGCTACCCAACCCTTCCTTCGGTCACCCCTTGCTGATGCTGTCTCAGGCTTACTCTCTAGGATGACAATGTTCCTCCTCTTCTAGGAGAAAGGTCAAAATGCAGAAGAGATATCCTCCAGTCTAACCCCAAGAAAGATCGCAACAGGACGAGTGGGTTAAACAGACGGAGAGTTGGGGGAACATGAACATGATCACTAGGGGGTCAGGGACACATCTCCTCCAGGGATAATGAGGACAGAAGTGTCACTACATGGTAGACTAACCATGGAGGAGGCTTTCTGGAGGTTCTAGACACTGGGCAAAGGACTGTCAACATCATGCACAATTTCCATTGTGGGGCTCAGAGCTTGTGTTCTGCAGACTCTAGGTATCCAAAGTGAAACTGACTACCCTAAAGCTGGCCACCCTGATGTATGATAGACTGAGTATGGATGTCCCATTTCTTCAGTTCGCTGTATTTTTCACTGGGCAACAGTCCCTGCAGGTGCAAGATGTAGTGAACACAGCCATGGTGGTCAACAGAAATACGGACTTGCTTAGGAGAACGATTCCTTTACCCTTTGAGCCAGAGTTACCAACTCTCTCTCTGTCTTTCTTTCACATCTTTGATAGTGAATTCTACTGGATCTCCACCTGCTTATGGCCACAGCCTTTGCTGTTCACAGCCCCACTGGCTTACCATCTATGCATTCTTGGGGGAAGATCAATTCCCTCTCTCTCTCTCTCTCTCTCTCTCTCTCTCTCTCTCTCTCTCTCTCTCTCTCTCTGTCTCTCCCCCCTCCACTGGTGGTTCATCACTCACCCACAACCTCAGAGTCACCCTACACAAATGAGCCCTACACTCTAGCCATAGCCTCTAAGCCTGTGTTTATCAAAACTGCATTCCATCACTATCTGGAAGAGAAGCAGGCTCCCTGGACTTACCACACTAAACAAAGCTCATACTATGGGCTTTTGTCTCCCAATGAGCCTTCAAACCGTGTCCCACCCAGACTCAGAGCCTCCCGGAAGCACAGAGCCTTTTTTCTCTCCTTCACTGTATCCCAGGGCTTGCAGAGTCTATGATCCTTGGGTCGTACACCTCCCTTCTTGTCCACCTTCACAGCCGAGCACCCTGGCTCCCTCAAGCTTGAACTCTAAATGGCTTCTGAGCCGCTTCCAACCCACCGACCTACTAGCCATTAACAGCAAACCAAAACTTCCGACTGAAGCACTCCACTCAGTCCTACCCAGGCAATCACAGAAGAACACAGAGTGATGCGCCAAGGGGCTCCCCACTGTACTGTTCACATCCATGAGACGCTGGAGTTAACTGCCCTTCGATGAAGGACCGGTTAATTAAATAACACATCACCACAATAAAAGACCGTGTAACTGCCGAAAAGACTCTATGTCTGCAGTGACACAGACTGGTAAGTTAAAAAAGCAGGTTGCAGGCAATATGCAAAGCATGGTGCCATTTCTGTAAAGCTATAGATAGCTGTGTGTATGCACACGCACGCATGTGTGTGTGTGTGCATGTGAGCATGTCTGTGTGCCTCTGTGAGGGGGGAGAGAAGAGAGGACAGTTCATCTCTATGTTTATTCGTATGAACAGAAAAATCTAGGAAGATACGAACTAAAAAGCCAATGGTGAGTAACTGTGGGGTGGGGTTGTTAGAAGGAGTGTGGCCAAGACCAGTTTTTATATCTTTTTAATCTAAGAATAAGTGCACAGACTGTAAGTGTAGAGCTCGGTGGATTTTTACAAACTAGGGAAGATTGTATAATCAGCAGAGGTTTAAACAAACAAACAAACAAACAAACAAGCAGTAAGTGTCACTAGGACCCTGAGGAGCCCAGCCGCCCCATCACCTGTCAGTTACAGGGGCAGCCACCACACTGGTCTCTAATGGCAGCGGTTACTTTCGCCTGGTTCTCACTGTTATATAAGGCGTGAGTCTTTTCTGGTGAGAAGAGGCTGCTTTCATCTGCTGCCTTCCACCTTTGAGATCCATGCACCAGGCTCCAGACGACTTGTTTACGCACTGCCTGGGTGGTCCCTCCACACGGCTTGTTTACGCACTGTCTGGGTGGTGGGCTTTTGCTGGCTTTTTCTCAAGTTTGAGGCTATGCTGTGGTTAGTTTAGCGGAAGGCTCTTGGGGGGAGTCTGCACCTGTGTCTTCTGGAAATGTACCTGAGAGTAGAGCTGCTGGGTCACAGGGTAGATGTTTGCTCTGCTTTAGCTGACTCTGCCAATAGCGTCACCGATTTAGACTATCCAGCACACTGGGGAGGAGATTATATTTCTCTCTCGTGTGCTTCTTATTTGTCATTTGGATTTTTTTAAAAATAGTTAAATACATTAAGTCCACAATATAAATGGAACTAAAATACAAATAAATTTGCAAATAGATCACAGCTCTACCCATGCCATGACCTTACTTCAAGCCTTAAAATGGCTCTTCCTGTCCTGACAAATTAAATTTAATCACTGTACCAGAGATGCCAGTGATTCTGTCTCAAATCAATCCCCACACAGCCTCCCCTCTCCCCACCACCCCCAAGCCTGGCTCACAGGCTGGGCAGTTCGAGCTGCGCATGTCCATCCTCAGAACGCTCCCATCTTCACTCCCTCTCCTTGCTTTTCCCCCTTCCCTCATGCCCAACATCAAACTTCAAAGCATCCCCTAGAGTCTATCCTTAAACAACACCTACACTAGACACTCTGTAACCCAGATTGTCACAGACTGGGAGTAACAGCACACAATTCTTAGAAGTGCTGTG